CGGCGTATACTGCCGCCCGAAGTCCCGGGTAAATCGCCAGAAGCGCTGACACCTCCTCATCTCCACCGCTCCAACGTTTTATTTTGTGTTGCCATAAGTTAGTCTCTCTCCGTTTGTGCGCGTGGCTAATGCTAATAATGCTAATGCGAGCAAATAAAATGGCGGCTTCACAAAGCTTTTCGGAGTTTTACGGGGCGTGGTTTGCAATTCGCCCAGCCAATCAGAAATTGGAACCTTTTCCTCCCCAGGAAAGTACCACCTCTCTAGCATGGACTGAAAATGGGTGGGCGCTGTACACTAGCTGCCCACTGCTCCTAGTACTAGACTCCTGGTACTAGGATGGGTTAAATGCAGAGGCCAAATTTCACTGTGTGTGCTGTGTGCTCTGCATGTGTGACCATTAAAAGAGGGTTTCATCCTTCCGTATTCTATTCCTATTCTATAAAAGGTTTGCATGAACTAGGTTCTAGTTCCAGATCTTTTTGGTGTGAAAGCAAAATCCCAAGAACTATCGGAACTGTTCCTGGGAAAAGTACTCCAGTGTGAAAGCGCCTATAGTCTTGTAACTGGAGTGCAACCGTCACTGATGTTTTTAATGGCATCTATGTTTTTCATATATCATCTTCTTGTGTATGGTCTGTTGTCATTTTTGTTAAATTGTGGCTGAATTTATTTTCAGCACCATCAGTAAAGCTTTACTGGCTATTTGAGCATTTAAAGATTCACTTTTGTGTTCTTTTCTTTAGGTCATCTTCAGGAAAGTTGAGCCCGGAGAGCATTCGTTCAAAGGCATCTCCGTCAGAATCATCTGAAGATAGTCATGACCAGTGTTCGGGAAAGAAACCATCCACAGTTACAGGGAAGAGGGAGGAGTTGTCTTTATACAAAAAGACCAAAAGAGCAATAACAAGCAAGAAATACGGCATGTCCAAGCATGAAGCTGAAGAATCACCCATTGAACTCATCAGCCGAGGCCCAGATGGACGCTTTGTCATAGATCCCACTGTTGCAGAAATGTCTGTAAAGCCCCGGCGAATTGAGGGCTTCCCCTTTGTGGAAGAATCAGACCACTATCCTGAATTCCGGCAGTCAGACGAGGAAAATGATGATCCAAGGTCTATGCCCCCAGTTATGGCCCCTCTACGGCCTCAACAGATTTCCCCAATCTCCAGCCAGGAATCCTACCTGCAACCTCCAGCCTACAGCCCTCGTTTCCATAGGCCTTTCGAAGGTATGACCATCATGGAGAGCAGCCAGCTCCAGGCTACGGGGCAGATCCGAGGTTCTCTCCACCACAGGGCTTTCTATGGCTATTTAGGCCACCCTGGGGATCATGACCCCCCACCTCCTTTTTACATGACTGATACTAGCCCACTCAGTTCTGTCATGTCCTCCCCTCCCTACCTTGCTGAAGGTCCTTTTGGTCACCCCATGATTCCTGAAGAATGCAGGGAGGGTGATTTTCCTCAATATGCTGTCCCTGGTTTCCCACTTCCTCTGACTATCACCTCTTCCTCTCGTACACCCGAGATTTGGCAAGGACTGGATTTCACCTTTGCAAGTCTGGAGGGTCCCCAGTTCATTTTCCCGCCGCACCACCCTTTGCATCTCCGCCACGACTCCCCCTATCCTCCTCCACCTCATGTTCTTCCCCTAAGTTCTTTCCAGCCCTCCCTTCCAATGCCTACCTACCCAGCTGTCCTGCCACTGGAGGCCCCAAAGAGCCGCTCAACTAGGTCTCCCAGCAAGGCCAAGCCTCGTGGCTCCCCAGCCAAGCATAGAGCTATGCAAGAGGCACATTTTGGGCATCTAAGACACACAAGCCACGGAATGGGTGTGCCGGTTTTGCCTTACCCCGATCCAATGGCCCATATTGTACCAAGCGCATTCAGTAGCCTTGACACGCGATGGTTTGAAACCACCCCTCGGTTCAGTCCTAGACAGGCTTGTAGGGTGGATTCTGGAATGCATCAGGTGGTCCTCCAGCCCTCCCGACTCTCCCCCCTAACCCAAAGCCCGCTTAGTTCTCACGAAGGCTCCCCAGAGATTGTAGTACGTCCCAGGCCACGTCCCAACATTGTCCAACCTCGCATACCACCAGAGATGTCTGAGATTACCCTCCTCCCTCCTTCCACAGCCAGCTTCTCAAGGAGATCTTCCCCCTCCTCCTCACCTGCCCACCATGGCCAGGGTAGCAGGAGAGCCAGTCCCAGCTACCGTTCCCACATAGCCTTTGCCACTTCTGCAAGCAGCTACCCAGCTTCCCAGTCCCCGTCACCCCCCATGGAAAGCAGCAACATATTTGGGCAGATGCCATCTCAGAGAAGGACTGAGGAGGGGATTCTTCCATCTGAGCCCTCTCCACCCCAGTTGTCAGCTTCAGGGTAGGTGCATTAGGCATGTAGAGAGGGATACCATATGAGTCATTTGCCCCAACCCATAATGCTTTAATGTGTAAAGCTGCTCTGACATTTTGGTTACTGAAGTGATGTCTAATATTTAATAATTTTTTTAATCATCTCTGCAGCAAATTAGATTGATAGTTAAGCTGCTTCAAATATTGTTGTGTTTTCATTTCTAATAACTTTTTATGTGAAAAATAACAACTTTCTATTGAAAGTCATCTTTCATTTTATTGTGATCATCCAACTATGGAGGTTCAGTTAAGTTCCAATTTGGTCAATGCTGCTTTTCCATTTCAGACATCAAGTTAGAGATATTCACCCATTGAATCTGTGGAGTATCATTTCAAAGGTATCGCCTTAAAAAACATTGCATTTCCTACTTAAAACAAAAATAAAATTGGGCCATGATTTATTTGTTGAATTGGCAAGAAAAATGGAGTTGCTTCACAGATTACATTTCAGAATGTTTGGGGCTACAGTTCAGCTTAAAAAAACCGATATTGACGGTACACTGTGTAATCTCTTGGCACAAGCCCCTAAAATATTGGGAATTTGCAGACATCACCAAAGGATCCCTGTTTTTCCATCTGTATCATGCGTTACCCTGCTTTCACCTGACAGGAGGAATCCCATAATATTCATCCAATTGATTCCCCAGACAAATCAAGCACCCATTGTTATGTCTAGCTTCAAGCCTCTGAAGATGCCTTTATCATGCAGATGGTTGCTTTAAGAAGAGTTCATCCTGGCAGGCCCTGCGGCCCATCCTCGGCCTTAGTAACCTGACTGTATGACCAATTCTCCCTCACCTTCCAACCTCTCAGATTTGTTCCTATCCTCCCTTCCCTTTCTGTAACCCTCCTCTCCCCAACTCCTTCAATTGCCTCAAGGACACCCCCAGGTCTGACTACCAAGAAAAGGTTGTTGGGCAAAGTGTGTCACAGGGCCTGTCCGCTTCTCATGTATTGCAATGTCTCCATCATTATCAAGTAGGGCCAGTATGGTGGTTCTTGATGGCTCCTGGAGTCTTACCTGCTTTGTTTTTGATTGATCTCAGCTATCTGGGCAGCGTTGTTGTGACCAGGTCCTCTACACAGCAATAGGTAAGGGTTGGATCCATGTCTGAAAGGGGGGGGTTAGCAGGTGGGACTTTTTTGATCACCTCGTCCTTTAAAGGGGAATACTAGACTTTAAGTCTTTGTTTGATTTGTTCCTTACTGCAGTCAACACATGTAGTTCATTTCAGTTCTTTACTTTTTCCTCTTTTTTTAAAGTGGCTATGCATTTTAAGTTCCATAGTCTTCAGTAAATTATGCATTTTGATATGCATATGCCATCATAGCTAATAGATCAGGTCAGAGATGTATCACCAACATGATTTCATGCTTGAGTGGTTTGCTAACTGACTATGTTCATAGACAAATCACCCATAAGTAAGACAAAATAACAGTAATCAGCATCAAACCAGTTCAAATATGTATTCAAGAATGTATTGTCTCCCTAGTTAGCTATTCTGAAAATAAGTTCAGCAAAGGTCACATATTTAGATATAAGAAGAGTATTTGGTGCAGGAGCTACAGAACGCATCTTTCCCTGGCCAGGCTGGATTACACTCCAATTAAATGGTTTTACATCTGTTTTCTGCAACTTCGGTCTAGAGATAAAACCACACTTAGAAGTGTTCTACACAGAATTCAGAGCATATCTTTGAATAAAGTAATTACGTCCTTGTGGCAATGTCTTAGTCTGCTACTGGCAGCAAACATTGTGAACAGTGCAAACAAGGCCTACAATGCTAATCCAAAGCATTGGATGAGAGTCAGAACCACACAAATATTCACATGTACGCCCAGCTGGCCTGGATACAAAGCATTTCCCTTATTTTGCTCATAAATTAATATTCAGAATTACATACAGATAATCCGTAAGAAGCTGTCTGTGTTACGGGTTTGAATCGCCAACAGTTAAACCGTTATTTATACAGATTTACGCCCATAAACAGTTCTCCAATAATGATTTAAAGTCTTGAAAGTGTAATGTAGGTTGATATTAAAATGTACAAGCACTATACTCTCCTGATTTATTTGAATGCACAACTGCCTCAGCAACATGAGATAGAGCTATGGTAGTAAACCTGAGTATAATGTTTGGGTTATATGTCCTGCTTTTTCATAATTCATTCATTGTTATCTGCTTATGTCATGGCGATGGCTTTTGTTAGCAAACGCACGGCCCCTCGCCCTTTCTTTAGCCCAGTGATAAGCCATCTCTCCAATTCAGCCGTCTTCCTCAGGAAGGAATACATTTCTTCTTAATCTTGTCCAATTCCTTATATGCTACTGCTCAGTATGCAGCTCTAGCCTAGCTGTATTAGAGGGCTCCCTCGCCACTATAAAACTGAACTGATTGCCAAAAAGATTGTAAAGGATGACAATGAGGCGGTCACTTTCGCAGAAAGCTTTTAGTCTTTCTTTATTATCAACTATCAGAGAACCGTGTGTGCTATCCAGTAGGGCAGACACAGGCGCCTTTGGTTGTGCCTTAGATAATTGGTTAGCGCTTTTCTCATAATGCTTGTCCCCAGACTCACTATCCAGCAAGATGTTGTACTGACATTCATCAGTGCCTGGTTAGCCCGGTCATAAGATGAGCCTAGCAGGGATTTGGAGGAACAAATGCATCCACCCCTTAACCCTGGCCAAAGGACAGCAAAGAGTAATGCTAATAATAAAGGTTTCTATAACACATATTACTTCCTATATGAAGAAATAACAAGTAACATGGCTGCACAAATAGGTATAGTAGATGTGGATACATCCAAATAATGCTTTTTACAATGTTTCTTTATTACAAACAAATATGATATTCTTAACCAGTATGGTCACCAATTTATGTTGGTGTCTTGTGTCTTTCTGTAGTGTGACAGTATGTGTATTTATCAAAGGTAGTATGTTTACGTTGACATAGACATTGTTTATTGTCATATAAAACGTTTCCAAATCACTTTTAGCATTCTCCTCAAGCGTGACACATTTGATCACTTATATTTTACAGATGCTTGTATTGTATGACACCAATTGAAAATACTGGTATTTTGGTACTCAATCTCTGAGAAATATTTTGTAAGATTTACGATACGACAGTAACTTAAGCTGTGTGTCCACTGGGAGCGATCATCCAGAGTTATATTTTGCATTAACATTAAGGGCAGAAATGCTGTTGCATGTTCCTGGCAGTGATGAAAGCTTAGCATGTGTTCTCAGCGCAGTGTTTCAAGAAGTTAAGGAACATCCTTGGCTTTGTCAAAATGTATCAGGTATAGCAGGTTTTAAACAGAACGAGAGCAATAGCAGGAGTCTTGACCAGCACTTCCCGCAAGCATCTCTGGCCTGGATAAGTAGAAGGAGATTCCTGGTGGACACATAGCATTAATGCCAGGTATAAAGCTTCTGTATAGAGCACGAATCAAACCATCTACTGTAAGTGTACAATGCCCTTGTTATGTTTGGACTGCAGAACAGTTCCTCACTACCATGTAAAGCAAGTGTCCAACTAAAACAGCTTCCGCACTTCTTTTTTTCCAAAGGAACAAACATTTTGCCAAGGGCTTGCAGAGGGTGGACACACAGGGGGCTTTAGACCCCCTTTATGTGTGAAGGAACTGCCCAGTGCTTTTGAATGTATTCCCCTTTAAAGTCGTGTTTCATGTGCAAACTGCCATGCATGCCATCGCTAAATATTGCTCCTTCGTTCCAAAAAAAAAGAAACAATTATATGGATAAATTCTTGTTACATTTGTTGTCCTAGTGCTTCGCTTTTCTTTGGCTTATTTTTCATTATGTGACTGTTCCCGAGTAGTCATTTTCCCCTCCCGCCATCTCTCCCCCTGTCAGCATGGTGAAGCCCATTGTAGACAGTACCCATGTCTATGAATACATATTGATGATGCTTTGTTGCTCAGCTGTGATTCTCCCCCTCTACTAACAACCTTCGGTTTCTCTCTGCAGCCACGGTTGGAAGATGGCCTCTCTGTAATGCTTATTGTTTTCTTGGCCTTGAGAAAACCAAGTGTGTGTGTGTGTTTGTGGCAGAAGTCTGTGGGCTGCCAAGTCATACGTTTCTCCATGAATGGGGGGAAGGTCCGTGCAGTCATGAGCGGCTGAGGAATATACACTCGAAACCAAGGACACATTTGCATCTGTTATTTCCAGAAGGGGATAGAACCATTTAAAAAAGATTTCAATTTGCAAAAAAGTCTTTTTTAAATGTTGTACATTCCAAAACATGAAACATGGTCTCAGGGGTCGTCTAACCCTTTGCTTTACTTTAGGTAGAGATTATTTGGACCAATTTGAGAAAGATATCTGAGAGGGAAATGTGGTTCAAGGTTCACAATTCAAAGTACCATCTAGATTTATGAGTGTATTGTATTTTGTGAAATGTAGTCATCATTTATCTTAACATAACTTTTAGTAAATCCAGATGATGTACGATGTTTTAGTAATAGTAGAGTTGATGAAATCCTTCCCAAACTTAAAAAAAGTGTTTTGTTATCTCATATTGATCCATTGGCAATGTGCTGCACCTCTTGCTCAGCACAGCAGTGGATTGTGTGGGTTTCTGGTTCTGATGCACTCCGTAGTGCAGAAACACTCCACTGTATACGTTTGGCCTGGAGTTACCCGTTTTCCCATCTCTCTGCTCTTTATCCAGAAAATATCGAGGTGTGCCGACTCCCCTTTCGGGGTCTGAGAGGATTGATGCACTGAGATACCAACGTATAAAAAAGGCCAAGAACATGATGATGAACAACAATAACTCCAAGTCCAGAAAGAAAGCAGGTGTGACTCCTGTTCCTGTCTGTTTGCACTTTTCACACAGTGATATTATTCAAAGAGGCCCTGTAACACTTTTTGGGGTTCTCCTTTCCATGTAGTGTGTTACACACTATAGGTTTGTGTGCATGTAAATGGTTTGCAAAGCCCCCCCCCCACTGTATCTGTGAGCAGTATATATAAAAAAATATTAAAATAAACTTTTCGCAATAATTTAAAAGGAGGGCATAGCAGTTAGTTAACACTGAAAAGGGTGATATCATTTATAATGTTGGGTGATGTTTATACTTATCAAATGTGTTTTATCCAGATGTATACATCAGGGAAGTCATGTGCTTGTTCAATTCCCTGTTTTGTTGCAGAAGCTATTGATGTGTACCACGTGATGTGGTAAAGCAGACTAATGATTTCAGGTACACTGAAAAAACTGAAACGTTGACGTAAATTAAATGAATTATGTCAGCAAATGACGTTAAGTTGAAAGCCATAATATGGTAGCTTTGGGACAGAAAACGACTATCAAATTAATTTCATTAGGATGAATGTGTAGAACAGCCTGTAGCATGGCACCATGAGTCTCTGAGGCTATGACAGACTTTTGATCTCCCCTCCTCCAGGTGTCTCCACCTCTCAGACCCAGCAGGCCTACACCTCTCAGGTACTCCAGCCCGAAGAAGTTCTCTACCTCCGCAAGAAGAAGAAACGGCCCATCCTCCACGACCCGTATACTCGCTTTTCTGCTCTGCTGTACCGCCGCCCACCGAGGGAGGACCAGAAGGCTATTTTGGCCAGCATGGACTACATAGACCTAGACCATGCAACCCTCCTTTGAAAGCCCATAAGGACACAGTTACATTCATGCAATATTCCCTCATTCCAAAATCACTACCAAGTGGAAAAAACAAAGATGTTTGCAATTTATTGTTTATAAAGGGGACTAGCACTACATTTCAGCATTCAGATTTGGTATATTGTGTAGCTATGCCCTTGGTCAATTCAATCTGCACTAGTAAGCATTCTGCCATTTTAAATATGTGATAAAAACAACTGTACTTTGTTAGATCAAGAACCTAGATTGTCTCTGAAATGCTGTTCCCAATTTACCGTGAGTGATAAAGCAGCATTGGTCAATTAGAATGACATCACATGCAGTCCTAGCTCCAAGGATTATTTGAACTCTACTGATTGGCAGAATGCACACGGTTGATGTGTATTCCTGAATTCAGTAGTGTTCCCTTTTAAAAAATGTGTTTAAACTACAGCGATTTTCCAAGGTTTTACTCCAGTGCAAAAAGATTTGTTAAGAAAGAGGCAAGTGCCTGTTGTCCACATTTCAAATAATTATACAAAAAGTTCAGTTACCCTTTTTGAATTTGAACACGTTTCATGCGTTGATTGCCCCCCAAAAAGCCCTGCCGGTCTCTGTTTACAGCCCCTTCCACCGGATCCTCTCCGCCAGCAAGGTTTATCTGCCGAGAAACTCGCCTCACAAATGTGTTATCTCACTTCCTACCGAATATACCTCAGAGCACAGGACACGACACCCCCAACCACAAATCAGCCAGCAGAGCAAACTAGCCTTTTTATATATCTTTAGTCATAATTACTTTTCTTAAAACGACATGGTACAGTTTTTCTTTCTTATATTTACTACTATTTAGTTTGTAAGAAGTCCATATTTGGATTTAATTCTGTTTTTCTCGCAGAATGATACATCGTTCACATTCTGTTCTACTGTAAATTATCAGGACTGACAAACAAACATAACCCTGGACTACTGTACTACTGAAGGAACCGTCTATATATCTTAAACCTTATTGAATAATGTAATTCAGCAGTGAATCACACAGGGGCTTAATGTACTTTTGCATTTCATTTACATATACTGTACTTGTAACTAACAGACCAATTCAAAAGCGGTAATTCAACTACTTTCAGTCATTCTGTATAAAGCCATTTAATTGCTCCAATTGGTTTAAGCTCCTCATATCTCATCACTGTTTGCACTGGAGCAAAATCTTGTCCATTTCCTCAGATTTGTGTCGCTTCTTTACACCAGTTTGTGAGCTTTAGGTAGTGTCGAGGGTACCAAATCCTATCCAGAATAGTTATGCCAAAAATAGTCAAATAAAAAAATGAACAACACATAGTGGAGGATAAGATTCTGTGCCATAGTATATCATAGTATTTTATTCATATATATATTAGAGGGCATCCAAAATAATGGCTTTGGTCGGCCTTAATGGTTCTTCTGGTTACCGGCTTCACTTGTGTCCATTTTTATAATTGTTTTATTTGTGCATTAGTGCATGCATGTGTGAGTACCAGCCTCTTTGTATTGACTCTTTATGTGCTTGTCATTTGATATGGAGATGCTGAGAGGGGTGTCATCCCTTAAGAAAAAATAATGTGGCATTAAGGGAAAACAAAGTGAGACAAACATTTTGTTGCTCACCGGTAAAGGCAGTTTTGTTTACATGTGATGGTTGAATTTGCCTGTCAAACTGAGATAGAAATATAAACACTAAGGGGCTAAAATGTGTTTTGTTGAATAAGTTAACATCGTGCCATAACATTAGGAACTAAACTATATCACACATACAGCAGATCCTGTTAGATTCAACAAACAATGGCTGTGTATTGGGCTCATTATTTTGGCTCAAAAGGTGCTCCATTTCTTCCAAAGTTGTTTTCATGTGTAGAGGGTATGGACTCATATCTTAGGCTCCTTATTCTAAATGAAAGCAGTGTCCATGTTCTGCTGTTATTGATGTGTTTTTTATACATGTATTTATTTGTTTGATTTCTTTATTGTGATGTAGAGCAGACTCTGACCACTCCTACTCCAAAATTGTCTTCTAATATGAACCACATATTAAGTGACTAAATGTGGTTGCTTTATTAAGATATTTCCACAATGATTGCTTGCAAAAGGAGGTGTCAAGGTTTTCAAAAAACTGACCTCATGTTTTATTTTGTATTCAGTGTTCAGGAAAATGAAAGAAGAGATGTAATGTTATTTATTTAACTAAACAGGAAATACTAACTGTGTCTCCTGAAAGCAATTACCATTCTTTAATAGACAAAAACATGACAGAAATTCACTGGCTTCTGACCACATCCAGCATACTGGAATAAAGTTCAGAATCCATCATACAGATACATTAAGGATACGTCAGTAGTTAAAAAGCAGCAATTATATTTAAATAGCTTGTGCCTTTACGATTATTATCATTCTCCAGCATTGGAGCATCTGGTCGCTAATATTTAAGTATTGTGTCTACGTCAACATAATGCACTTATTGTGGAAATAACTTTACAATACACTTACTTCTGCAACTGAAGTCAAACCACAGTCTCTTCTTCCAAAGATTCTAAAGTCTGGCGAGCGTAGAGGACGTACCATGTGACAGCAACTTGTTTTTAGCTGCTTCGTACGGCACTGAGTGAAGTGATGACTGAACATATCAGAGAGGCCATCCCATCAGGTGCTGAGCAGTGGTGTCAAACAGAGGCTGCTCTTCAGCCTAAGGTGCTAAGCAAACCATGAAGTAAAGCTGTACTAATGAGTATATATTTAAATAACTACAAATGCCACTTCCATTTTAACAACTGTCATTGCTGTGTTGCTGTCTTGGATTTTTTTTCATCTAAAGAATTGAGAATTGGCTGTGCTGCGGCCTGCGTTTCATAACATAGATGGTTAAAAAAGAAAATCTTGCTTTGTACCTTCCAGAATCATAGAGGAGCTTAAGGGAGAGTTTGGTTCAGATCAATTGACAATGATTTCCCAAATTAGGTATTTTAATGACTATTTGAGAGCAGACCATTTCCAAAAAGAAATGTCAAAACAATGACTATTTTCTACCAATTCTGGAATGTTTTGAATACATTTGAACTCAGTTGATAGAAAACATTATCTATAACAAAACAAACTGAATGAGGAGTAGCAGTGGTGCTGTATTGTATCAAAACGCCTAGTGTCATCTTATATTTACCCTACATTTAAAAGAAACCAAACCACTGAGAGAAATGACATAAGATCTAAAATATACATCATAATTGTTCCTTAGTTGTAAAAGAAAAAATCATTCTTGTTCATATTGGCCAACGATATGCATGTAGTTCGACAAATGAATCTGAAATATACAACATTATTTTATGGGAAAAGGTCTATTTTATTCTGTTTGGATGCTCCTGTGACATTATAGTGTCCCTCTGAGCACGGTGAGGGTACAAGTAAGAAGTAATAAACAGGATGAGCCTCTATCATCTCCAAATGCACTGGAAAATCAAATGTTCACTCTGTACATGCTGAAAGTTCAGTCCTACAGTATAACTTGTTTTGGTCAAATGTAGAGAATAATTACACTAACAAAACCCTGATAATTCAGTGTCACAACTCTTAAAAATGAGAAGATGGGAAATAGTCTCTGTGTGACTGTTGAGCTATTTCATCACCAAGGGCTTTAATGAGACTCATGTGAACAAGGCTGAGGGCTAAGTCAGATCTGAAGTACTGTATACTTCCTAATGTGCCACTGAGAATATGTTCATGTATACTCAAATAAATTATTTATGTAGTATAAACATTTGAATGCTCCAGAAATAGGGAAAATAGGGCCACTGCCAGAGTAACCTGTATTTGTGAAAGAAAAGCATGATACCAGTGGGCTGTGTTTGAAGCTAAAGCAAGTTGAGCAGTAAGGCTTTTAAAGCCACTATATTCAACCATTTTTCCAAACCCTAAACATTTTAACCCAAAGCTTTAAAATTCCAAATTTGACACGTTTTCAGTTTCTCCACAGTAGCATTGCCTTGCGCTGCGGTTAGACATTCGGTTGAATTTAAGCTATAATTATTTCTATGTGTTGATAGGGGAGGTAGATTTGCTCTTTACTATTCTGTGATGTCTATTACTTCATATTTATATTGCATGTGTTACTTCACAAACTAGTCTGGAGAAAACGAAAGTGGTCCATATAGCTTTATGTGTCCAATTGCAGTCTGACTTGCGCTTAGTACATAATAGCCCATAATTACTACAGATGATTTCCCATAAAGTGGGTCAATCTGAGTCATTAAAAAAAACAAAAAAAGCTTAAAAAAGTTATGTTTGTGTGGTCTAAAGACATTTTCATCAATCATTAGAGAATGAGAATTTGTTTTAGAACATCTCAGTACTGTATCACTCTTGAGCTGAGGAGACGTTCTGCTCGGGCTGGAAGATGCTTGAGGAGAGACTTATCATGGCTTTGTTGAGGATATTCAGACGTTTGACGTGTGGAAGTGCTTTTGATCCATAGATAGGAGAATCTCTGGTGCTAACACATGCTGCATAACCACAACCTGTGTTGCCTCCATGTTGGAACCATATTGAGTTGATGTTGAAGCTCACCTCTCTGAGTTCTCTGCATCTGATCCATAAAACTGCCACATTATGTTCCTTATTTCCACACTGAAAAAACTGAAACTTTGACTTGAAATGTGTCAGGTCAACATATTTCACATAACTATTGGGTTTGTTGAAAGCAATAATATTAAGTTTAAATATATTAAGTTCAATTTAATATTAATGCTTTCAACTAACCTAAGACAGTTGTGTGAAACTTGTTGACATAATACATTTAATTAAAGCCAACTCTTCAGTTGTTTCAGTGCAAAAGAAAAGCAGATCTTCAGCAAATTTTGTTATAATGAGAAATGTAAAGACTGGTGAAATATTACAATTAAAAATATATATTTGATCATCAGACTTGGCTCTGAGATGCACTGAGGCAGAGACTTAAGTAAACTACATTTGAGAAAAACTAATTTAAATCATGAGTGTATCCATAGCAACACGGCGGAGTATTGAGTATCAACTTTTGTCCTAACTGAGTGTACAAAAAAAGCATTACAGATTTGAGATATGAAAAAAATTACATTTTGTTACACTGTGTAAATAATATCTCAAATAAGCTTACCTTGTCATATATATTTTTTGTAGAAGAAAATATGATGCACATCAACTATATTGAAGACTGAGTGAACTGAGTAGTGTAGGGTCTGCTTCAGTGATATACCATGATGTAACAGACCAACGTCTATGTGTGAGTGATGGAAATCTTCTAGAAATTAATTTAATATTATAGAGCAAGGAATTATAGAGAAAAAAAACATATATATAAATAGATATAAATATATTATCATGGAACCAAAATGGTTACTTGAGTATCTATATTTGGTGACAGTACTTGTTTTCAAGAATGTATAAGTCTATATTGTATAATTTTGATATCAATGTGTTACTCTATACTGTAGCAATGCAGAATCTTACATAACAGATGAATATGTTTTTCAGGTCAAAAGAGAATGGTGCACCCACTGTATATCTCACTGTCTGATACACAGAGACCCAGAGAACATACAGCAATCTAGTTATTATAGCAACCTGCATTTGGTGTGAATAGCAAATATAATTGTTCAGTTATTTGTGGGCCATCATCAAACACTGAAAAAACTGAAACCTTGGTTTTCATTAAATGTATTATGTCAGCAAAGTTCACACAACTGTATTAGGTTAGTTGAAAGCAATAATATTAAGTTGAAGCTAATATTTATTATTTTAGCCTAATATAATTGCTTTCAACTACCTATGTGAAA